GGTTGGAAGTGTGGGTACGTTGAAGGATATTCTGCTAACTGTCAAATTATAGTTCCGCAATTTAATTGCAGTAAAGAGCTAGAAACTATAATGTTGAACTAAGCAGGTTTGATGGATCGATATTCTAGAGAAGATGGAGAAATGAGTTGAAATAAAATGATTTCAGGGCAGCCTTCGAAAGAATTCCTCCAGAACTAATCTCTGGTTGAGTCATATGAAGTGGTAAAACTTTGAACCTCTTTGCCTGAATTTGATTTTGATGCGACTTGGTACCTTCCTACAAAATACAGTCCATTTCATGGATATATTGGATACGCAGTGACTGTTATGAAAAACCAAGGCGGATAAAGAATGAAAATATATTTTGAGGTTAGCTTTAATGAAAAATAAACAATTGTGTTCTGGCGCTGAGCGGAGATGTAAATTGATTTCTAAGTTGTTATACGAAGTTAAAAATATTTCAGATGAGTTACCTGAGAAAAAATTGTCACCTTAAAATCTATGTGCCGCTGAAAGAAACCAAAATATTGAGCTTTGATACATACATGAGGTCCTGATTCTAATTACGAGCGACTCATAGATAGGTACACACTGTTACTATCCCATGTATTAAAACAATAACACCGATATCGAGCGATCAAATGATGATTTGGATAATGCTGATGTTTCTTGATTTAACAAACTGATGATAAGAATCACTGTCAGACTAAAGTCCTCCGGTTTCATCGCGAATTCTTGTCACGCAGCACGCCGCTCGAACGAACAGATTAGTTAAACATCAACACTCTTGAACGAAGGAATACTGCCTTACTTGAAAGATTAAAGATCAGCAGTAATGCTTTCAGATGTGTTTAGTTTAATGATTAAAGAATTAGTAACATAATACCTTGACTCACGGTGTTATCAGTTCAGTTTCTGTTGACAGTTGACACCAGGCAACAGCACTGACTGACTGAGAGTTAAGTTCTACTGCATTCAGAGAGCGCCACTGATTCCGAGAATGAGCGGTGAATTTGAAATAGCACAGCACTTGAGATAATCAATTTTTATTACTTTTAATTCGTTAACCGACTCGATACGACCGACTCGCGACGCCATTAGCATTTCAACTGAGACTGAAAAAGTAACGGACTTTTTTAAACGCACGTGATTCGTCACTGCACCTGCCTAAACAGTTTGTGACGGTATATGGCCAGTTTGGATTATAGCCGAACTAGTTCAGCTACTACCTAGAATTGGTTTAGATACAACATAAACTTTTAGGTTTGTGATGAATCTAAAATAGGGTTTAGATAGCACATAAACTTGGTTATGCTAGGAGCTCAAAGGTTTTGTTTCCTACTTCAAACAGTTTGCCTATTAGCCTAATCGCCGCTGAACTGACCAGTTCGGCTAAAATCTGACCCTTTTTTTTTCAGTGTGCTTTTCATTCAAATTACTGTACAAAGAAGATCAAGTTAAGAATAAAATTCTCTGCCAATTTGGAAGAGAAACACTCGCAAATCTGCACAACAATTTTCGATTTGTCAATTGACGTTTTTCACCACCTGAGGGCTCATGCGGTGTTTTTCCTGGGCACGGCAGATTTTGACTATTTATGCTAGAAGGAACTATGTGCATAGGACTTGCGTGTGTCATAGCTCCTCTTAGCATAAATACGTCAATTAGGTATTTGCCTTAGCCCTTTTTTATCTGTATTTCTGATGATTTTAGTTTCGTTAAATGTAGAGTGAGGGGCTGTACCTAAATTACGTGACACACTTCTACGGTATTTTGACCTCCTCCCTCCCTATAACGTTCTTGTGACGTAGTTCTGAGTCCTTCAACACGTAAAAACAAAATGGCGTAACGTTCTCCTCGACCCCCTACCCCCCGTAATTTAGGGGCAGCCGGACAGCCCCTAACCTTACATGGGTAACTGGAAGGAATTTTAAGCGTGTGAACTAGACTTATATTAAAGTTTGCCCGATTTACAATGTAAAGCACCTGGACCTGGTATAGTTTACGGTGAGGTTTAATGATCCAATATGAATAGGGAATCATGAGGCTGTTAACATGGACCCAGCTCCAAACACGCTCACAACGGGGCCCGACGCTTCCTTCTCCAATTACCCACCCGGACCGACTTTGAAAGCACCGGAAGGATGCGTTCACGATGTTTTGATGACGCGTAGTGGCCCAACGCATTTTTAAACGTCCGAGACTAAATTATCATCCTTTCTAAAGATCCGACGTGTCATTAAACAACTCAATGAAAAAGATCCGAAGGGACACCCTGTCACAGATTGAGGGATAGAATGTAGACCCAGGAAGGGAACAAATTATTCGGCAAATAAGCACCGCTCATGGCGCAGGTCCTCTCGAGGTGCGCTACGCCGCGGTCGCCGCGCCGCGCCGCGCCGCGGTGGACTCGACTTGCGCGCTCAGGCGCTCACACAATGGAAGCAATGGTGCCAAGGAAGAACGGCGTATGAACATTCGGGAGTTGCCAAATTTCCCTTGATAAAAGCTGTATTTTTCACAAAATTCATGCATATTATTCCTTGAAATTTAAATTAAATTGTGCACAAAATTCTCTACAAATTTCAGAATATAATATTCACAATTTTCCCAGTAATTTCGCATTTTATCGGAGGAGACTTGGCAACGTCTGAAGGCTCATACGGCGTTCTTCCTTAGCACTGTAGCATTCATAGTCGCTTTTAATGATTGTAGGTGCATCCAGATACCTCGACCGGGCTAGGGCGCGTAGGGGAAGGGGGGGGGTCCAGGAGGCTTCCCCAGAAAATTATCAAAATTTTAAAGCATTTCGTGTGCAGTTTCAGTCAATTTTTCCATGGTTAAGTACCAAATATAAGCGCCCTTTCTTCTTTTCTCCTCCGTTTCTTCCATTTTCTCTTGATTTCCTTTTTCTCTTTCCTTTTTATTAGACAAACCGCGGGGGGAAGGGGGGAGGAGCGTGAACCCCCTACGCCCGCCGGGATTCGCGTATGCTAAGACAGTTCCTTTCCATCTGGAAAACCAAATATGGTTTATACCGTGATCAAATTTTAATTTTTTGTTGTTTCAAATTCTCAGCTCTTTAAAGGGTCTCCTTCCAAAATTATACTATTGGACTGCACTGGAGTTTTGTAAAAACTTCCATCGATATTCTGCTAGATCAAGTATCTTCAAGTCCTCATCGTATAAACCACTCGGAGTCTCCTAAGGAAAGGAGCTGTTCAAAGACTCGGATTTTGCATAGCTTGGTAGTATCATGTTACTCTCAAATCCGCCGAAAATTATAGTCATAGAGATTCGTTGTAAGTGCAGAAGGCCAGCACAAGCAGTACTCATAAACGTTCCTTAAACAGCTCCCTAATTTCTTGTAATGATTTTCATTATCATCAAGGAGGGCTTAAGGAGATTCTTAACTTGCCTGGAAAAGAAGAACAATTTTAAGGCTTATATAAGCCTTAAAATTGCCTTAAGTTTTACTCGATATCGAGTAAAACTTGACAATAAACTTTAAAAATATAAACTTGTAAATAATTAAAATTATGAACCGCAGCTAAACATCGAAAATGCGCAAGAAAAAAATTCTAAAATGTTGAGGTAGAGACTAACCTCCTTTAAAGTTTCCGAGACTTGCAAAATTTTAACCTCGGTATTCTTAATTTTTTACAGAAGCAAATTCTTGGCAATCATCAACCTTTGCAAGGATCCATTTCCGAGTTTAAATTGTTGACTTTTACTCGAAGTTCGTGAGAATCGTTACTTGTTTCGTTGCCACTCTGGTGCACGGCAATAAATAGGTAAGAATTCAGCCCAAACTTGGATATTTCTAATTTATTGTGATAGTATCCCAAATAATTATGGCAGTATCCCAAATAATTACAGTAATACCCCAAATAATTGTAATGTACCCCAATACATTAGGTCACTAACTCAAATGTTTCGGTACTACCAAAATGAATTGGAAATGTCCATATCATCCAAGAACTTGAGATAGTACCACAAAATTAAGTGTTAACCCGTAACGCTTTCGAGTGTATATCCATTCTCGCATGAACCTCAGAAAGCATATATTTAGACATAAAACAGGGTTCACGTGGAGATTGAGATATACGCATCTACTTCATGGTGACGATATAATCATGTCAAGAATTTCCTGAAACCTCCCTCAATCAGAATACGAACTATTTGGTGCCTCAAAGGAAAAGAAACTTTTTAGAAAACAACAATGAATACCGCCGCGCTAGGGAAAAACGCCGTAAGTGCCTTTAGACGTAGCCAGATTTCCTTAAAAAACTTAATTTACTGGGAAAATTTTGATTTTTTTTTTTTTAATTTTTTCGGCAATTTTGTCTGCAACTTGATCAAAAATATCTGAAAATTTCAAGGGAAAATACAAAAGCTTATCTTTCCCCAAAAAAACCTGTTTTATGCGGGAAATTTGGTAACTCTCAAATGCTCATCCGGCGTTACCAAATTTCTTTTGGTAAATAATGAATTCTCTGGAAAATTTGTCAATACTTTTCTTCCAATTTTTCACATAATTTTGTTCACAATATCACCCGAAGTTTCTACGAATTTCAAAAAAAAAATATTCATAACTATCCTTAAAAGTAAACATTTTATCGAAGGGAATTAGGCAACTCTGGAGTGTTCATATGGCGTTTTTCCTCAGCACGGCAGAATACGTCCTAATTGCAGGAAGCGCGGAAGTTATAAATAAACTTCTGCGCAGTTACGTGCTTTCTGCTGAGGACGTCGAAGCGGAAGGCGGACACGCCGCCAACAGCGAGTGAGAACGAAGAATCCCGCTGCGCGAGGCGCGGGCGAGGAGGGAATTAAAATCAAATATGAATAGTAATTGATTCGCATCTGTACTCTTTGATTGGCGGGTGGCCGGGGCGGGGCGCGGGATGACGGTCGGCCAATCGGAGCGCGAGGGGCGGGGCCGCAGGTAGGGCTCGAGATACACTCCGAAAACTACCACTTTTATATCGACTCCCACCCCGAGTGGATCCCTCTAACATAACCTCAATCGTTTCGCTCGGCTTTCATTACTGACTCGCGTGTCCTCGCGATTGTGTGCGTTTTTTCGCCGAAGGATTTTCAATGATCTGTGGACGTGTGATAAAGTCGAAGTTTTTCACGTGAATTTTTGGGAAGATAAGGTTTCTCGATTGCTGTCGCAAAAACGGACTGTTTCCGCGTTAACATTTTTTCCCCGATTGTTTACGAAGTAGTGTCGTTTCCGTAATCCACGCGCATTTGCATTCATTGGGTGTTCATTGAGCCGGAATCTGGTTTTGTTCACAACTGTTGGAGCTGTATTTAGTAAAGTGCGGACGTATTGGCGGGTCTTGAACAGTCAGTCAACTGTAGTTTTTTCCTAACCTTGCACAACCCTTGTTTTTCACCCACCCCGGATTGTGTTGTGCGTCGATACCGTGGTCTATATCGCCGTCTTTTAAGACATTAATGTCATTGCCGTAATTACCATTGTTCATTATTTCGTTACTTTGGGTCAACATTGTGGAGACCTCCGTCAATTACCTCTCGTGAATCAAATAATTTTCTCTTACTCTCTGAACGAGTCATCAAGTTTCTAGGAACCGATCACATTCGTCTCAGTGTGCAACTTCACCCTTGTACTTTGGAACTCTTCACAAATCAGGATTCTCAACGTCTGTAAAGAGTACTGCCCTCCTCCAAGTGACTCTCGACTTGTCTGAGGATTCACCGTCTGGCACCGCGCGACTCTTCACTTCTTGCACCTTGTGACTGTCCACGTCCCTGAAGAGTACTGTCTTGCATCCTGTGACTGTCCACGTCCCTAAGAAGTGCCGTCTTGCACATTGCGACTGTCCACGTCTAATCGGAGTACTGCACAGCACCTTGTGTCTCTGCAGATCCCTCGAGAGTAGCTTCGGGCGCGTTTGAGCCTCGCGATGGAGCGTGGGTGCTGATCAGGGTGGCGCGGGATGCGCTTCTGAGCCGGGCACCTCCCCGCATCACGACGGCGGCGCTAGAGCAGCAGAGCGAGGACTCGCAAAGCTCCTCGCAGTCCTCCCGCTCGACGATGCTGACGCCGATGCTGTTCCTGGACCAGCACAACCCGCCGCTGGCGGCCCTCCACTCCATGACGGAGATGAAGACCTCGCCCAACGGCGGGAACCCCCACGGGATCGACCACATCCTGGCCAGGCCGGCCGGGCTCTCCTACCGGCCCTTCAATTCCGTGGCCGGTGTCGCTGCCGCCGCCGCCAGCTACTTCCAGCAAAACGGCGCCAAGCCCCACGGCCTCGTCGATTTCTCCACCAGGAGCCCCATCTACTGGCCCGGACTTCAGGGACTCGTCAATAACCCCATGGCCTGGCGCGATAGACTTGCTAGTTGTGAGTACCCTCTCCCGGTTTTTTAAATAGCTTTAAGTGCCGTTCCCCTGACATGAGGGCGTATCTCTGTATCCATATGAGCCCTGCGTCCCAATTATTGAAATTGATAGACAAAGCTATAGACAAAGAAGACATAGGGAGTATATGGAGCAATACCATTGGTTGAAATGGTTGGTTCCTACAGACTAAGGGAGAAAATGATGGACTAACTATCGGGTCCCTCGCGGGTTGCCGTTACTTAGTCTATTACTTGCCTCCTTTGTCCATTGCATCAACCCGCTTCCACCAATCGGATCCCTCCATATCTCTCTTGTCTTCTTTGTCTGCAGTTTTGCCTATCAATTTCAATAATCGGCCCGCTGGAAAGCACGAATTTAAACGGAAAACAGGGCCCATGTGGAAATTGAAATACCCTCTTACGTCAGGGGGGTGACGAGCGATGAATTATCATTAAAAAAACATGATAGAGAGGTAATAAGGGTAAAAAGGTATAAATAACAATTCTTAGTGTGTTTTCTCTTGAAAATTGCACGAGATTAACGAATCATAAAGTGGTAAGTCTGAAAATCGACTTCTAAACAAGATACGAGTATGTAAAATTAAAAGTGGTTAAATGAGAAAAATACAAATGACAGATTTTTGACGGTGAAACTACGAGACCACGCATCTTGATTTGAGACGTTGTAAAAATTCGGTCATACTTCATTTTTTAAGTGGAAAACCACTTAATGCCAATTCTTGAAGACTTCCGTGTTTTTTCTTCTCGGTGCGAAGAAAACTCTGAAAATGTCGATAAATTACATTGATTTTTTCTTCTTCAAAAAAGATAAAATGAGAGCGGAGATTTTTAACACCGCAAACAAGATATGTGATCTGGTTGTTTCACCGTCGATTGTATAATCTAACTTGTATTTAATATGTGCTAAATAAATACTTGTGAATATTTCGTTCAGGGGTTAATTTCCGAACTTCTTGTTGTGTTATTCGTTTTCAATGTAAGATTTTGAAGAGGTGATATGTGACGTTTTCTTCTAGTCCAGACCGTGCCTAGTTGCTCCTTGTGTACAGCGGCCTGATCATTGAATTTTCTAGTTTTCGACTTGACACTTTGACAGGATAATGCAAAAAGGAACTTGAGGTTGGCATATTTTCATACCACGGTGCCTGCCTTAAAGAAGTTTGATTTGCAATTTAAATCAATTATATTATTGTTTTTTCTGTCGCGAAAAGTTTTAATTTAGGCATCGGAAAACGACAAATATCTTGGTTAGGAGTTACTCTCAGCAATGTTTGCTGTATAAATCCTATTCCACGTGGAACTTTGATGAGCAAACATGTCTCATAATGCTCAAATTTGCACCTTGTCTAGTGGTCCATGGGTGATAAGCTTTGAGGCATCTCTACTACGGAAAGCTGTAAAGGAGGCCTTTCAGTCGCGGGTCTTGATTTTAGTAAAATTCATTTTGAAAATTAGGAAGATCTTTGCCGGGAACAAACGTTCAAGACTTCCACATAGCCTTTTATAATTTACCTTTTTGTCAAACGAAAGGTCTTGCCTATTTCAAGCTTAAGAGGGATAAAATAAAGGTACCCTTGTTGCTCCCTGTGCATGATGTTCCGCAGGTAAATTATACTTAACGTGTCATTATTAGTAATTAGTAATAATAATAATTTGATGCAAGTAAGGGTTATTTACCAGTCGAAAAGAGAGAAGAAGAAAAGAAAGTTGTAAAACTGGTATGAATTATCTCTTTTGTTTGGATCCATTCAGAGATACCTCTTCCGTCATTGAAGCATTGTCATTTTTCATGAAATAGAAGGCTTAGGTATTTTTGCTTCAATTTTAATAAACCGAACATATAAATGTATACTAAAACATTTCACTAAGTTGGCACTAGTCCGGTACCCTCATCGACTCTTGTTGTTAAGTGAGAAACATCTTAAATTTCCATTTTTAGCGAGACAATAATTTTCTTGTCGTATTTGTTTTCATTAAATTGACGGATAACCAAAAGCTCTCAGTTCATGAAAAATCACTTGAATATTTTTGAATATTTAGATTGTCCTGAAGCTATAATCTAAAGAATTAGCGACGGATTTTAGAGCTTTTCAAGACATTTTAGAAAATAGAAAAATTCACATTATACTCAATTAATACCACGAGAAACTGATGAGAGACAGAGAGCTTTATTTCTTTCCATATCCGGTGGAAAATTATTGCACAACGTTTCAAAACTTAAAAATAATTATCGTTAACTGTAAAGACACGGAAAATTTGATAGACAAAAAAGCATAAGGCATGGGAGCTCCTGTTCAACTTTCAAACAACAAAGAAGAAGAAAACATGCAACATCAGTTATTATTATTATGAAAATTTGAAACCCCCGACAAAAGTTTAGCTTTTTATGTAGTAAAGGAAACCTTGCACTGTTAAAAATTATTCTGGCCTGAGTGGCCTGAGTGAAATATTGTGGAGCTATCCTGCCTGGAGCATCGAGTGACAAAATTGTGCGGTGAGTTAGATAGCTCGCTCTGGCATGGGAAGCTCCTTGTAGCATGCTACAAGGAGCTTCCCATGCCAGAGCGAGCTATCTAACTCACCGCAAAATTTTGTCACTCGATGCTCCAGGCAGGATAGCTCCAGGAAAGACAGCTGTATGCTCGGGACAGATACTTTCCACTCAGATTTTTGATACTTAAGAAGAAACAGAGCTATAATTTTCTGCGCATCATCAACGCGCATTGACCGTTACAATCTCATTCTGGAATTCACGACTGCGACGGCGTCAGTCTCCAGCCAGTGGTTTTTGCGTGAACAGTGATTAGTTGCGACTCGTGAAGGTGTACAGCAAATTAAATATTGTTTGAAGGCTTTCCAGGATAATACCCCATGGATCCCATACCAAAGTGTTCGCTGAGTTCCTAACACGACGGAAAATAAAAATTCGTCCTAGTAGAATAGCCTACCTCCAGGAATTTTGAAAACGCCGGTAAGGGCAGCAGTTTTATGAAACTAGGTTTAAGAGGAAAAATACATATTTCGTACCATTATACTGCAAAATTGTATCTCTTTCTCTTTTATCGCTTCATTCCTTATCGCTTGTTGATTTGCATGTGCATGGTAGTTTATTTAGATTATTCCCTATTTAAAACCATCATGTTGCTCCCGTTAATGGATTATTTGCTTTTAGTTGTACTTCCTTGTCAAGTATCTGTAGTTTCCTTGGTGAAGGTTCGTTATGCGTCTGGAGATGGCACTGTATGCCGAAAAACCTCAGGTGTATTGAATAAAATTTTGCAGTATAATTCTACGAAATTGTCATTTATTCTTTTTAGCTCGTATGATACTTTTGGGCATCAAAGCCTGATTATATGGGTATGGCGTGGCGTCCAGTAAAGTTAGAATTCTGTTATCGTGTATATTTATTTTTTAAGCTTACACTGAATTTATGTTCACAAAATACTTAATATCTATAAAACTTTTCTTTGTCTAAAAGCGTTTTCGAAATTACTGGAGACAGCTGTTCAGCTATGACAAATATTGATTTTCCGTCGCGTGTTTGCAACTCAAAAAACACTTTGGCTCCGAATTTGTGGGATATTGGCCCGAAAGTTCCTCAAACATGATTTGATTTGCAGTACAACTTCACATCTTTTCAAAAAAAAAGAACATACATTGCAGTTACAGGTGGAAGGGAAAGGCAGAAGAGGGAGGGAGGAGAGGGAGGGGAGGAGAGGGAGGGGAGGAGAGGGAGGGGAGGAGAGGGAGGGGAGGAGAGGGAGGGGAGGAGAGGGGGGAACGGATCGGGGTATGAGACGGATGCCAGGGGTAAGGGGAGGGCAGTCGCCAGCGACGCAGCCCGTCCTTATGCCTGAGTTACTTTAGCTCAGCATTTCCGTACTTACGTCGGAGATTTTCAACTCCGTGGAAATTGGCCCTGAGCGATGAGTGACTTCCGAGCGACTTCCTTATATAGGTCGTGCTCTGAGCTAATTTTTTTTAACAGTGTGGTTGCTTTTTCATTTCATGTTACGAATAAACTTTTTCATTCTAAAGACTTTTAGATGAGGACTTTGAAAAACATATCCAGCTACAATTTGCTGTAGGTGTTTGCTATGTGTTTGAATTATTTGATATTTCGACAGAAACTCGATTTTATTCTTACATTGACTGCTTTTAGACGCAGTGGAAAATTGAGTGGAAACTGTAAGGCTACTTTAGCGTTCCATAAATACTTTAAAATTGTTTATCCTTTTAAATTAATCAATTCGACCTTTTATTCGTCCGTAACATATTCTAGGTGGCGGTAGCCACCCCGGCCCAATCCTAAAAAACTCCCCCTAAAAAATGACGAGAACAAATGATTTTCCTTACATAAATGGCTGCACATTTTTTTTGTACTTGACGGCAAGAAAAAATAATCCCCCATATTCGTGTTTGAATATTTGAAGAGAGTTTAAAGTTGAACTTGTATATACCAATATAGCTCTCTTTTTTGCAAGAAATGTAGGAATAGAGTGACCAACTCAAACTTTTTTTATTGGCTGAGAGAATGAAGTTACTCGATTTGTTTTGACTGGAATTAGAGTGTAAAAAAAAAGTTAATATAACAAAATTCCATCGATTAATAATGTTTAAAAATTAATTATATATAAGCACGAGGAATCAAAAGCTCTCTGTCCAGCTTACCATAGTTACTTTTTGATCAAATGCTCGTCCATAAGAGAGGGCCCATTCCTTTAACAATTAAATTTTCGATCGGACAAAGACATGAAAAAAAAAATTATGAGCATCCACATAATTTATTTAAAAGAACATAGAGGGACATGAAAGAAGGTTGGGGGTCACAATTAGTAAAGCATTAAAAATTCATGTTGGCAATCTGAGTCCAAGAGGCATCACGATTTTTATGATGAAAAAAGGGGAGCTATAAATGAAATTTAAGTCGTCTTAAGTAATTTTATTCACATTGCCCTCAACTACGGCATGCAGAGGATGA